GTAGTAGGTGAATGGGAACTAATGAGGCAGAAGGTTTGCACGACCCAGGCTTGGTACTTGGGTAGGCTTAAACAGTGATAGGACAAGGTGGCAAGGTATTACAAAATAGAGGATAGTGTAGAGTTGTATTGATTTACCAAGAGGCTGACAGAGGAGAGGGAGAAGAGCCTTCCCAGTTCAGGGATGATAGTTTAGAAAAGAAAGGAGGAGTGGAGGGAATGGAGGTTATAATAAAGATGAAGAACAAGGTTAGGGGCCATAAGAAAAATGAGGCTGGAATACTGGCCTCCCAATCTATTCTTTTTTCAGGCAATTGGGGTTAAATGACTGCCCAGGGTCACACAGCTAGTAAGTGTCAATATCAAGTGTCTGGTCTGAGATCGGATTTGAATTCAGGTCCTCCTGACTCCAGGGCTGGTGCTCTATCTACTGCACCACCTATCTGCCCCTTTGTTCCGTCATTTCAATTGTGTCTGATTCTTCATGATCCCATTTGGAATTATCTTGGCAAATATACTGGAGTGGTTTGCCATTTCCTTTTCCAGCTCATTTTACAGATGAGGAAACTGAGGCAAACAGGATTAAGTGACTTGCCCAGGGTCACACAGCTAGTAAGTGTCTAGGGCCAGATTACAACTGAGGAAGATACTAACTCCAAGCTCAGGACTCTATCCACATTGACATCTAGCTACCTGCCTTATATGTGGTAAATGCTGAACAAATACTTAGTTGATTTAAAGAAAGCTTTCACCTCAGGCTTTGGAAGGCTTCCCTAAGGAAACAGTGTAAGTTGGGTCTCAAAGCAAGAGAAATATTTTGATAGGCAGAGATGAGGCGTGCACCCCAAGGAACAGCAATGCATGGAGATCAAAGGCAGCATATGAAATTTGAGGAATAGCTAGTAGTCCAGTGTGGCTAGAAAGTATGGTATAAAAAAAATTAAAAGAAAAGAAAAGAAAGTATGGTATACACAAATAATCAGAGAAAAATAAATTAAAACAATTCCAGGCTCCCACCTCCCACCCATCAGATCGGCAAAGTTGACAAAAAAGGAGAATGAAAAATGTTGGAAGAATTGAGGGAAAATAGCCACACTAATGCACTGTTGGTGGATCTGTGATGGATTGTTCTAGTCATTCTGGAAAACACTTTGGAACTGTGCCCTCAAAGTTACTAAATTGTGGATCTTCTTTCACCCAGTGGTACCACTCTTAGGCTTATACCCCAAAGAGAGCAATAAAAGAGGATGTACAAAAATATACGTGTAAAAATATAGCAGCTTTTTTTGTGGTGGCAAAGAACTGGAAACTAATGGGTAGGTCCTCCTCTTAGTAAATAGCTGAATGAATTATAGTGTGTAGATACATACCTGTGTATGTGTCTGTTGTGTGTGTGTGTGTGTGTGTGTGTATGTGTATAATGGAATATGACTGTGCTAAAAGAAATGATCAAAGGGATGGTTCAGAGAAATCTAAGACCTCTATGAACTGATACAGAGAGAAATGAACAATTTACGGAGAATAATTTGTGCAATAGCATGACAACAACAAACAACTTTGAAAAACTTAAGAACTCTGATTAATACAGTGACCATGATTCCAGAGCACTGATGCTGAAGCATGCTACCCCTCCTCCTGAAGAGGGTGAAGGACTCAGGGTGCAGAATGAGAAATATATTTTTTGGACATGACCAATTCAGGAATTTGTTTTACTTGATTGTTTCACATTTTTTTTTTAGTATTCTATTTTTCCCCAGTGACATGTAAAAAGAATTTTTAACATTTGTCTTTAAAACTTTGAGTTCCAAACTTTCTCCCCTCTCCTTCCCTCTCCAATCCCAACTACATTGAGAAGGCAAGCAATTCCATATAGGTCATACATGTGTATTGCTTGACTATTTTAAACAAGATCTTTGTGTTTTGTTTTGTTTTCTGTTTTCTCCAGTGGGGTAAGGGGAGAAAGAAGGGAGACAAAATAGCATTTTGTTAATTGAAAAAAAAAACCAACTTTAAAAATAATAATAATTAACATTTATATAAGGCTTATTACATGCCAGGCACCATGCTAAGCATTCTACAAATATTATTTTCTAACTTAATCATCACAACAACCCTGGGAGGTAGGTGCTATTATTATCCCCATTCCACAGGAAACTGAGGCAAACTGAGGGTTAAGTGACTTGCCCAGGGTCCCACAGATAGTAAATGTCTGAGGCCAGATTTGAATTCAGGTCCTCTTGGCTCCAGGCCTAGTACTCACCGTATCTACTTCACTACCTAGCTTCCCCCCCAAAAGAGCATGATATAATGAAAACTAGTGCAAAATAAGGCTGGAGTCCAATTGCAGAGTGTGTCAGGGTCAAGGAGCCATGAAAGTTGTTCAACAAATATTTATTAAACACCTACTACATTCAAGGTACTGACCAAAGTAAATATTGGGGATACAAATATGAAATGAAAATGGCTTCTGCCCTCTAAGACCTTCTATTTGTGACAGAGCTTTTGAAGGGAGTCTAGGATAGGGAGTGGAAAGGGAGGAGTCAGAGAAGGAAGAGTTCAGAAAGGAGGGAGAGAAGTTAAAAGTCGATGGAGCTAAAGGGAGAGAGCAGAAGGACCTTGGCATTTGGGGTGTCAGAGGAAGCACAGTATTTTGTTATTAAGTACTTAATGCTGTTGAAATGAAATAAAATGAAATCAGTCTCGGTCAAGGCAGGGAGTCAGGAGGACAGAGAGAGCCAAAAGAGATGAAAAGAAAGGAAACATGACACAAAGAAGGGATTGGGGCTGAAAAGCAGTTAATGCAAATCCATGAGGTCTCATGAGCCTGATAAATGCAGTGGGATCCAGGAGGAGAAACTTCATTGAGTCTTAGATTTAGATCTGGAAGGGATCTTGGAGGTCATAGGGTCCAACTCCCCTCATTTTATACAGGAGGAAAATGAGATACAGAAAGGTTAGGTGACTTGTCCAGGGTCACACAACTTGTAAACGTCTGAGGCAGGGTTTTGAACCGTCACTCTCGACTTCACTGTCTTGCTGCCTCCCAAGGCTTGGCTCTACCCACAGTTAATTTTTAGACTCAGGGCTAATAATACTAATTCATTTGTATAATCTTGGGCAAATAATTTCATTTCTGTGAACCTTAGTTCCCTCCACTACATAATGAGGATAATTATCCTTATGCCACCTACACCTACAAATCTTAACCTAAGTCTGACCATCCTTAATATTGCAGTATTTGAAGAGCATGAGGTTTTTTTTTCTTCATTATGAAGACCTGCTCTGAATTAATAACTGAACCGATATCAATAAATCCTGCACAAACAAGTCTGACTCATCTCCACTTCCCACATAGCAACAAATAGAAAGCCTTAGCCAGGGTAAGCTTTCAGGAACCTGTGGCAGATTCAAAGTGATATTTCTGCTTCTGCCTAGGAAGTTTTCCTACCTCCTCTCCAGATATTAAAATCCTGTTCATTTTTCAAGGCCCTGCTGAAGTCCCTATCTCCTCCAGCACCCCAGAGAACACTGATTTTTCTGAGCCCTTGCTCAGAAGTATATTTGGGAATTCTTAGGCTGGGGGCAAATTTTGTCCAGGGTCTGGGGTGGAGGATGCAGCAGAAGAGTGGTCCAACTGAAGAGTTTCGGGATGCTGGGAACCCAAGAATGCCAAGGCAGAATTGCCAGGAATGAATTCACACACTCAAGCCTTCTTTTGGTCAAGTGACAAAAGTTTTTTGGTAAGGTAAATAGTAGCGGGTAAAGTTCCTTTGGGGAACTTGCAACTTAATGAATCTAAAGCTTATATAGAAAAGGGGCAGGGAAAGGAATGTTAAGGATGCTCATTAGGTAATGCAAGGGGTCCAGGTGCCTTTGGGAGCCAGCATCAGGAATCTATGGATGGGAAAACTCAGGGAATCAGCAGAGACAACTTTGTGGATACCAAACATTGAGGGAGAAATGACAGTTTTTGTTTAGCTGTCAGAGGCATGGACCTTGGGGATCTGGTTCGAGGGACAGTCCTTGGGCCAGTCAAGGACAAAAATCTTTGGGCAGGTTACCCCCGTGTCTGTCCTTTACCTAAGGAATTATAGGGTCAATTCTGTGCCTGTAACAAGGTGAGAATTTTCTGGGGGAGAGTCTGGGTTCTTAGACATGGTCTTAGGGCTTTTTGGAGTCCGGTTCCCACCACCCCATTACAACTGCAGTAACAGTAACCTATCCTTCAGCTAATTCAGTCTACACCACAGCAGGAGGTTAGGGTTGAGAAGAAAGGGAGTCCAGGGGAGGGGTACTACAATGACAGAGCTCGGGAGTGTGGGGGTGGCCCAAGAATGGTCTGCAGGGTGGTAGGGAATGTTGGGCATGAGCCTCGAGGCACCAGGAGAGCAAAGTGGGTGGAAGCCCACGTCTGCCCCAGGAACCAGGATAGTTTCGCTTCTGCTGAGATATGGGTGTGGTCCTATGTCCCCTATCAGGATGAGCTTTGAGGCCAAGAACCAAATCTCTTCTTGCTTTTTTTCTCCCTACCCCGAAAGTCTTATCTTCCACTTTTTTCCCCTTTCTAATCCTCACCCCTATCCCAGAGTATGGTGCAATTAATGAGTGAGGACTTGTGCGAACAATCAGAGAGGGAGCTCCAGCCTGGCAGTGCAGTACTGGGAGTGAGGGGGGTGGGTATCTTTGCAGAAGGCGGCACCCAATTGGGACCAAAGTCTTGAGCACCTGCACAGTGACAGCCACACCTTGGGCCCCTCCTAGAGCTCGTAGGAAAGAGAAGCGCCGAAGAGCCAAAGTCCTGCCTGGGCCTTTGGAAAGTTTGTAGAGAGCAGGGTAAAGAGGTGGGGCGGAACCTGGGGTCCTGCCCCCTTTCCAGGGAGAGTGTGAATTACGCTCATAAATCAAGGAGTAGGCTAAACACGTGTTTCTGAAAGTATACCCACCCTCGGGGAGGGGCGTGCTTAGATTATGCTAATAAGGACACCCAGCGCCGCGGCCGAGATTGTGCCGTGGGCAGCAGTCCCGGGGCGGACTCTAGGGAGTCAGAGAGGTCCCCCTCCCGGCTTCCAGAAACCGAGAGGGCCAGGGACCGATTGGCCTTGAAGGCAGTGACGTCAGGATCCCAGAGCGCGAAACCGCGGAGGGATTGAGGGGGTGAGAAAAAGGAGGGCGGGGCCTCGCTTCCTGCCCCATCCGCTGCAGCGATAGCGGCACAGACAGCGGCGGAGACTGGCAAGCTGGCGGAAGGGTCAAAAGAGACTCAGGAGAGCCCCTGCACGAGTCGGTACCCCCAGCCGCGCTCCAGTTCTTTGTACCCCAGCCAGTGGAGTCCTCTTCCCCAGCTTCGGGCTCGCAGCCACTGCAGCGGGGACGCCCCCCGCTCTCTTCGCGAGAACGAAGACGCGCGTGCGCAGCACGAGAAGGGAGTGGGCTAGAGTCTGAGACCCCAGGCCTGGGGGCGGGACGCGTGCGCAGACCGAGGGGCTGGGGGAGGCGGGGCGAGCTGCTGGGGTCCCCCGGTGCTGCTGAGAGCGCGCCCCCCTGCCCCGCCTCCGTACGAACCCCCGCGCTCCGGCCGGGTCAGGCCGGGCCATGGCGTTCCTCTCGGGCCCGCGGCTGCTGGACTGGGCCAGCTCGCCCCCACACCTGCAATTCAACAAGTTCGTCCTGACGGGCTACCGGCCGGCCAGCAGCGGCTCTGGCTGCCTGCGCAGCCTCTTCTACCTGCACAACGAGTTAGGCAACATCTACACCCACGGTGAGCGCGTCCCCCGGGTGGGGCAGGCCCCACCCGTGCATCCCGGCTCCCCTGCTGTCCCACCCTGCGGGGTGCCCAGTTTCCACTCTGCGCCCTTGTCCCGGCCCGCTTTTCGTTGCCAGCTTTCCTTTCTCCTGACACCCCTTCCTTCCCCGCGTCCTGAGCCCAGCTCGCGGATTACCGCATACCCTATCCCCGCACGGCGGTTGCTTCCTGTTTCCCACGCTGAATAAGCCCCCTTTCTTGGCAAGCATCACTCGCCTTCGCCTATTGTCCCCCATCGCCCCCGCAGCGCGTCACGCCGTCACAGCCCCCTGCCAGGACCGTCCTGTGCGGGCCCCTTCACTCCTTGGAGCTGCTGCCATCCCCTGGTTTGCCTGTAGCCGTAGGGACCGAGGGGACAGGCGGAGCCCAGGGAGAGTATGGGAAAGCCGGGGGTTCCCAGGGCTCAGGCTTCCTGCTGTCTGGTCCCCAGCTGCTAAAAGTCGGGGAAAGGAAAGACAGGGAGATGAAGGGTTAATCCCGTTAACCTATCTGCAGTTGCCCCCCTTCCATTCGGCTGCTCCCGGGTTATAAATCGGGATTATCCTTGGGTAGGGGAATTCAGAAAGCAGGGAGAGGATTAGGATTTGGGGGAAAGATTTAAAGACTAGGGACAGGAGGTGTAGTTTCCGGGAAGGAAGTAGAGTCTTATTTAGGGAGATGGCATTGGGAAAAAATGCCTGGGTCTGTGGATGGAGATTGGTATGGAGGGAGAGAGGGAAGAGGGATGAGACACCAGATTTCTGGGCGACATTCACTTTGGCACAGTGGACTGGTGTGACAAAGCTCCCATTGTTTGTGACCCCAAGCTCGGCCAGTTTCTGCCCCCCCCATCACCCTAAAGGACCTCAAGTGTTGGGGGGGGCCCATGACCTCCTTGCGACCATAGCGGGGGGTGGGGGGGAGGTGGAGCTGTATCAGAGTGGGGTTGTGACCCTAGGCTAATCCCTCTTGAGCCTAGGGGGAATTAGCCTGGTTCCTTATCAATCCCATAATCCCTTGTGTGGGGGTCCCACAGGCGGTCTTGGCATAACAGCCAATTTTCCTCAGTTCCTGTTCATTCATTCCGGGGTCGGTTGTTTTCCAGAGGAGGTGTGTGAGAGCAAGGGGTAGGGAAGGGGTCGGTGGTAAATCTAGTCCTGGGAGCTCTCTAACTGGCCCTGCTTTCTCCGTTAAAGACTACTCGGGTCCCTTCCCGTCCCAGAGCCGGCTGCCTGCTCTGCGAGGTTTCTCTGTCCCACAGCGCCTCCTGGTGGTCCAAGATGCCTTTGGCCGCCGCCCCCTTGCCCTCTTCGGGCCCCTCCGCCTTGGTCAGGGCTGAGCTCTGCTGACACAGCTGCTGAGCTCACTAGGCTTGTCCTTGAGCTGTTCCAGGGAGCATAGAAAGAGTTCCCCTGAACTAGCCTGGGCTGAGAGCTACCTATGGACTCTGGGACCAAGAATGTTGTCCCAGCCTCTTGCTTCCCAGGTGCCTGGCAGCCAAGTGCCAAAGTCAAGGATTAGGTGGGAAAATAGTATTAATATTTCATGTTACATAGAACTTTACATTTCATATGCTACTTTCCTCATGCAGGAGATTTATTTCAGGATCGATAATGTCTCACATTTTACAAACAGAGAAACAGGCTTAGGTAGTGTGCTATACACTCCCCCCATCTCAGCCAATTTCCTCATCTCTAAAATGAAGATAGTTGTGAGGAAACCATTTTGTAAACCTAAAAATGCTATAGAAATTTGAGTACTGTTGCCTAAGGTCACACAACAAGGAACTGGCTCAGTGAAAATTCAAATTCAAGTTCCTAATTTTAGGGCCAGTGTTTTTTCCACTCTTTCTACCACAGCGGATCCCATTTGTTCTGTCTCTGAATCAGGCCCTGAGTGGGGCCCACCACGGTGGTGGGCCACAGAGAGGAATTGTAGTGAAAGAGTAAGGAAGTTGGGAGGGATAAAGAATCAAAGCCTAGTTGAGTCATACCCAGGTTGTAAGGATATCAGAAGCTGGAAGTTTTTGAAGCTGAGAAGAGGGTAGGTGACTAGAAACAAGAGAATTAGGTCTCTTTTGGTCTCTACTTCCATCCTTAGCTTGGTTTCCCTAGTCTTTTATAAAAATCATTGGAAAGGCTGAAATTTCTTATTTCCCCGGACTGTGCTTTGGAAGAAGTTATGGGAAGAGCTGGATAACACAACAATCTGGCTGATATTGTCCCTACGTCTCTCTACCTCCTCCTTCCTCCCCCTCCCAACAGGCTTGGCCCTCCTGGGTTTCCTGGTGCTGCTGCCCCTGACCATGCCCTGGGGACAGCTGGGAGGGGGCGGCTGGCTGGGGGGAACACACTGTGTGGCCTGCCTGGCGCCCCCTGCAGGCTCTGTGCTCTACCACCTCTTCATGTGCCACCGTGGGGGTAGCCCTGTCTACGCCCGGCTTCTTGCCCTCGACATGTGTGGGGTCTGCCTCGTCAACACCCTCGGTGAGCCGGGAAAGGGGGAGGGGAAATTGGGTGCTGGGGTGGGGTTGACCTCGTCCCACCTTTTGATGAATTAGGGCAATAGACAGTTGGGTAGAGAGAGGGGGATAGAAGGGGAGAGATGGCTTCTGGATTATTTTTGTGGGGCTTGGGAAGGGCTTGAGACTGAAAGCTTCTCACTCATCACTTTTTGTATTCTGTTTCTCTTTCTAGGGGCCCTACCCATCATCCATTGTACCTTGGCCTGTCGACCTTGGCTGCGTCCAGCAGCCCTGGTGGGCTATACTCTCTTATCTGGGTTGGCAGGCTGGCGAGCCCTCACTGCCCCCTCAACTAGTGCCCGGCTTCGGGCCTTTGGCTGGCAGGCAGGAGCACGACTGCTGGTGTTTGGGGCTCGAGGGATGGGGCTGGGAGCAGGAGCCCCAGGATCCCTGCCCTGCTATCTTCGAATGGACGCATTAGCATTGCTTGGGGGGCTAGTGAATGTGGCCAGGCTGCCTGAACGCTGGGGGCCTGGTCGTTTTGACTACTGGGGTAATTCCCATCAAATCATGCATCTGCTCAGTGTTGGCTCCATCCTACAACTGCATGCTGGTGTTGTACCTGATCTGCTCTGGGCTGCCCGCCATGCGTGTCCCACGGACTGAGCTGTTTTAATCTGCAAAATAATGCTCCCATTCCTTGAAGCTGTAGAAGGTTCCTTTTTTCCTTCAAGGCCCCCCAAAATCTATAGCCTTGTTTTTCCCTAGATCTCCCTTTTCAGGTTCTGTGGAGCTTTCTCTTGTTGCCTAATCACAAGCTCTTCTTTAGAGTACCAAAGGCTGTCATTTGAATTCCCTAAATTTGTACTCTTTTCCTTCCTCAGGACTGTAGAGGGCTGTCCAGCTCTATAGAATTCATTACTATTTTCATCTACTCCAGAATAGGTTCTCACAGCCTGTCATGTTTTATAGAGCTATTTCTCTGATGATGGCTCACCCCAAGAGGTAGTATGATGTGACTGAATGACTGACAGCATCAGGAAACAGTGGATTATAGTCCTCCACTATTCTGCTGTCTTGTACTGTGACCTTAGACAAGTCATAGGGCCTTAGGTCCCTTATCTGTAAAATGAGGGGCAAGCTATATGTTTTATAATTCTGAAGCTAAGCTTTCATCTAGGTTTCCAACTCTAGATGTCTGCATATTTGCCACCCCTTCTCAGAGCCAGTAATCAGTAACTTTACCTGTTATCTAAACCCCTTCTGTTCTTCACTAAATTGGATGGGGAGCAGTGAAGGACTCCCCAGCTCCTCCAGTATCTGGTGGCCTTGAGCATTTGCACAACTAAAGTCTCCTTCCCTGGCATGCTAGCCCCTTATATTTAATTTCGTACAAGCTCCACCTCTGAGATTCTTCCCTTCCCTCTCTCCTCCTAAAACCTCCTATACACACAAACAACCATGGAATTAAGGATACCAAACACCAAGATGTCTGCTTCTTGCACAAGGCCTCTTTGCACAAGGATTGGGCCAGGGTGGTCCCTGCAGAAGAAAATTCAGCTTCTTACAAAGACTATAACAACCACTCCTAAACTAGGGCAAAAGACTAGCTCTCTGGTCCAAGAATTCAGGCTTTTTCTACTCTGCATAAGATGGATCCAGAGGGTTTTTAAATGCCCAAGCAAACTTTAAGTCTCACCTGTGGACTGAAACTGCCCAGGTCTAAACTCCAGCACTTTTTGCCTAAGGATGGTGCTCTTTGACTGTTGGACTTGTAAGACTTGGAAACCTCTCAATTCCTGATAAAGATGCAACTCCAATCTGCAGTCTTCTTGTATGAGGATGCTGGCCTTTTGGAACAGGAATGTCTCCCACCCTAGACCTTATCTTTAGGGTTGGTAGAACTAAGGATAAATCAATAAATGGAGCAGGATGAGCTGATCAGGAAACTGTTTTGAGGGTCACTCTTTAAAGATTCTATAAAGGCGATTTCTAGTAGTTTCAATTACAAGAATATCCAAGAGCCCCCAAGATTCAAATAGTTTTTATTAGACTATGCCATCTCCAAAATTTACAGAAGGGATCCTAGAAGAAAAACTGTCCCTTACCCACTGCCAACCGCCTCCCCAACCTGTGGAAAGCATAGGCCTATATACAGAAGTGCTCCCAAAGTAAAGAGAGCCCTGGAGTGAGGAACAAGGATAAAAAGATTAAAAACAGACTAGAGTTTGGTTGGGCCTCAGTTGGGGTCAAGTGAATCCTCAAAGAGGCTGAGGAGGTTTCGGGGCTCAAAGGAGGGACCCTGGGGCAGCTCCGGGCTGATGCCACTTAGGTCCAGGGGGTCCCTGCAGGCAAGGAGGTGAAAGGAGGGAAGAAAAGAGTGAAGGCCAGAACTCATTCCACCAACCAGCCCTTTTGTCTCACCTTGCACACAAGGATGCCCCACCCAGAATCTAAGGATTCAGCTCTCACTTGTCTTTTGACTGCTCCCATCTCCCAGTTTTCAGCTATCTCCCAGTTTGGGTTTTCTTCTCCCCCTTTCAGACTCAGGTACTCCTCACCTTATCCTCCGTCCACCTCTGACATCAGGGGAACCACTTCGAGGGGTGGAAGTACCCCCAGGGGAGCGGGCTAGGATCATCGCTGGAGACAGTGGGGGGCTGTAGGGGACAGAAGAACTTGAACAAAATAGGGAAGGGGATCTGGGGAGCACATCAGAGAATATCCCCCTGAAAGTCATAAGATTCTAGAAGAGGAACACAAGGCTAGCTTTGGAGCAAGGGTTCTTAACCTCTTTGTGTCATGGACCCTCTTTAGCAGTCTGCAGTCTGTGGACCCTTTATCAAAATAATGTTTTCAAATCTGTAAGATATACAGGATAACAATGGATTTCAATTGTATTGAAGTACATTTATCAAAGTAGTTTTGAAAACAAGCTCATAGACCCCAGGTTAAGTAAATTTTGTAAATTTAATCTTTTTAACCATTGACTAATAAAAATCAGGAATATACTACTAAAGAAAAAAAATGCCATTAACTGAAAAAAGGGGTTACTATAGTAGCTATCCCAGGTAAACACTGTTATATACTTGCAGATTATGCTTGCTGGGAATTATCTCCCTCTAGCAGTTTGCTTATGTGGCACTTTCCCAACTAAAAGACCTCACGTGCAATCTGCTCCTCGTCAAATAATTTCTCTTATACTTTGGGGTCTTCCAGCTCTAGAAAGAGCTTGAACAAATATTTGCTCCACTTTTCCTTTTGTCTAAGTATTTGGAATGTCTTAACATAGCTCCACTACATTAGACACTATTAGATGCATAGATAACACCCTAATAGTATTCATCAGATAAATACGATACAACTTAAGTATGAAAACATCTTAAACTAGAGCCTACAAGGTTAGGTGAAACAAATCAGTTTCCTACTTGATCACATCTGTTTCTATACTGAACAAGAGATATGTGTTTGAAACAAACTGGAATTTCACATAATGAGATTTAGCATAACATTGTGAAACCCAGCTCCTAGAATACTGCCATCACCACTCATGCCCATCAAGGCATGTGATGGAAGCTTCATAGTAAGGACAGAATGTCAGAAATATGAATTCTAACTTGACCTAGTCTAGTCAACTAGCATTTAATTAAATGCCTACTACTTGTCAGATACTATGGATATAAAGAAAGGCAGAAAGATCAGATTCAGGCAATTTTTCTACAAAGTTATAAGCCCACCCTTTTCTCCCCGAGTCTAAGTTGACTTACCCCAAGCTGTCATCCTCCCAGTCACTGGAGATGCTACTGTCTAGAAGGAGGCTAGAAAGTGGGGAGCTGGGAGGTGTAGCTGGAGGGCCCAGGGGGCGGAGCCAGCTGGCCGGGTGAACCAGGCTGTGCCATAACCAGCATAGCAGAGAAAGGAAACCCTACGGAAAAAAGGTGAAGTGGAGGTGACAACTCTAAAACAGAACTTTTGAAGGAATGGAAGTACTCAGAAATGTTAGTAGGAACAGCAGTCTATGGAACTTACTTGCCATAAGGCTCGACCTCGACTCAGGACCTCATGGGCTATGCCTCCCAGGGCCCCCCAGTGCCTTAGCTTCCTTATGACCTCCAGGGCCAACAGGGCTTCAGCTGTGGCACGCTTCTTGGGGTCTGGTTCTAGCATCATGGCGAGGACAGAGCGCAGCTCAGAGGACAAGCCTATGGATAAAAACAGGGATAAATTAGCCCACTTCTCAAGAACCTGTTCTCTCAGAACCCAAATGTGGTTCTTCCAAGTACCCAAGAAAGACTTTCTTTCAACACCTACCACAACTTATTCCCAGAACTAGAACTCAATTACTTCATGGTCCAGTTTTGCAGCAGTGATAAATAAGTGGTATTTTCTTTGGCATTCTCCCAGCCCTCCTGATACATAAGAACCAAAGTGTACCCTTTCTGTCTACCCTGGAATCCAGGTCGAACCCCTTTTTCAGAACTATGAAAGGATATCTTGCCATTTGGTGCTTCTTGCCACTCTTCCTTCTGCCTCTACTCACCAGCAGTGAACTCAGGGGGCAGATAACCCCTCCGGAGTTGCTGCCAGCCCTCCCCACCACGGGGCAGCTCCATGTTGCAGGCGACTTCCAGAATGGTAAGGCCCAAGCTGGGAAAAAGAGCAGTATTAACCCACAGAAACTAACTTACTTGTGTCTATACCCCAGGATAAAGTATCCCTATTCATCCCAAAAGCACAAGAGGGAAATGGCAGCTACATATATTACACATAGCAACAGAAGGCCTCAATATCTTTTATAGAGAAACTGTAGAAGTCTTAAAGAGCACTTAGTAGGGCAAGGAATGGAGTAGGATTGCTGAAGTTCCTGGGAATGGTCACTACCCCTGGAGCCTTTCTCCAAATAACTTGACACACAGAAACCTAGGCATGCCACTTCTTGACATAGTGTGGAATCTAAGGCAACTGACTCCCCCAGAATTCTAATCCCCCCAGTCTTTCAGGGCCCCTTGCTACTTTTTAACAATAATGTCCCTGCGCAGAATGGAAAAGGGAATTCTGCCTTCAGCTGTACACGCTTCCTAATGATCACCTGGAAAGGAGAAGCTACTCACTGGTCAGGAGTCTATTTTTGGAGACTCCCATAAAGTGACCTAATGCCTTCAGGCCATTCTTGAGACATAGCATAACACTTCCTTATCCACGGGCATTTTTCATTTTCATTAAGAGGCATTAAGTAAAATTTATTCCAGGCTCTAGAAACATGGCCTCAGCATCATTTGGGTAATCCCATCCAAGTTTCTCAGGGATAACATTCACCTGGAGCTCAATCATCTTCAGGGTCAGAAATTCCTTCCAAAAATTCTCCTAGTAATAGAATAACATCCCTTCTCTTAGAAAACCCTAGCCTGTTCCCTAAGAATATGATAACTGGCCTGATGGGATAAAATGTCTTTGGTCTCCTCAGCCTATCTCTACACAATCCCCCCACCACCTCCCTGTCCCAACTCCCAAAGACTGATTCTTCATCTTCCTTCTCCTACCTACCTGAACACATCTGCAGCTGTCCCATAGCAACCCTGAAGCAGCTCTGGAGCCATATAACGGGGATCACCCTCTTGGGCCTCACCAGGCCCAGCTGCCCCCAGCTCCACCAGCAGTCCAAAGTCTCCCAACTTGCAGCGGCCTCGGGGCCCCAGGAAAATGTTAGCTGGCTTGACATCCAAGTGGGCCAGTCCATGGCTGTGCAGGTGTGCCAAGGCCAGTAATGTGTCCCGAAGATAACCCCAAACCTGGGCCTCAGGTAGGCCAGATCCCCGAGCCTCACAATGCTGTTGTAGATTGGGCCCACATAGCTCTGTCTGCAAATACAGGAGCCCACCCTCTTCCCAAGCTCTCTCCAGACGAACACAACGGGGATGCCGCCCCACTTTTTCATGGCCCCCAACTTCTGCCAACTTGAGGGCTCGGTCCTGAGGACCCCGGAATGGGGAGACTGAACGTTTCACAGCATAGAGACGGCCATCTTCCTTGGAGCGAACCTAGAAACCAGTGGCAGGTAGGACACTTAAGATATTGCCAACTCTGGAGAGGGAAGAGTTTACAACTGAGTTTAACACCCATATGAGAGGACGTGACTATAGGGAGGACGGAAATAACATCAGTACAATACTAATATATCACAGACTCAGGGATAAAGAGATTAGAATTGAGGTAGCTAGGTCAGAATCTAAGGAAAACATTGAAGGTAGGAAAGAAACCAGCCAAATCTTATGATATTAATGTTTCCTAGTGGGGAAAGATTTGGGGACAATAGTAAAATAAGGAGAATATATAAGGAAAGGGATTTTCTGTTGTCAACTTTGGGGGTGACAAATGATATTAGATGAAATAATACTGATTTTTTTATGTTATGAGACTATTGTAATTTTTTCCCCTCATTTGTATTTATTTGTCCCTTAGACTAGGAAAGTAGAAGTTAACTAAAATGATCATCTAGTAATGTGAACAGAACAAAACAAGCCACCCCTGCCATTGGAAGACTTACTAATTGGCTAAGAATAAACCTGGCATTGAGGAATGGTCCAATAAGTTCAATTCTTTAAACCTAGATGAGTGACTCTGAAAATCAGTTTTGTGGATTTTCTGAGATTGAAGATGTTATCCCCATCTGGGAACTATGAAGAAGCAAACACTCCAGGAGACAGTATTATGACCAAATTAGGAATATATAAATGGAACAATTTAGAAAGGAAGCTAGATGTCACAAATCTAGGACAAGATAGCTTTCTTTCAACTTAGGGCTACCTCCAAGAAGCCTTCCTTAATCCTCCCAGTTATTAGTCCTCTCCCTCCTTGAACATTCCTAGAGTATTTTGTCTCATTTCTCCTTTGTCCCCTTCATTCCCTATCTTATATTTTGCTTATCTGTGTACATGTCATATCACCCTAG